CACACTCTGCTGAGGCAGAATCCTGCAGCGGAGGTGGTGAGGAGTGTGGGAGCCTGAGAGACAACAGGAAGGGGAAGGGGACCCAGGGGACGGAGTGTGACATGCAGAGCCCGTGGGAGCCGCCAGGTCCCAGTGTCAGTGTGTGACATTCAGAGCGCATGGGAGCCGCCACCCCGGACACCCAGTCAGAAGTTGGGCTTGTGTTTCTTGAGCTCCACCAGGAGGTGATGAATGTTGATGAGCTCTGCCCTGGCCGGCAGCGCCCGGAGCTGCGGCTGTGCCAGCACCCGGAGGAAGCGATGGTAGAGCTGGATCAGCTGGGTCAGCGCCCCCTGCACAGAGGGGAGTCGGGGGTCAGACAGACCGGGGCAGGACGGTCAGAGCTTCACAGCTCAGACACAGCTGGTCGCTGACCTTCCCAGAGGAAAGAGCGAGAAAACACCCAAGCGAGGGACACGGGCAAAGGGCTGGGGTGGCAGGCACCTGGATGATGCTGGTGCCATTTCGAAAGTTGGTGAAACTCCGCATGACATCCTGACTCAGAGACTCCACGGAGGCCTTCCAGGAACTCCCAAAGCCCCGGATCAGCTGAGTGACTCGGGCTACCACAGGAGGACAGAGAGTGTCAGAGAGTGACCAGGCCTGGGGACCATCCACCCCTGCAAGGTCTGCCCAAGGCACAGCCATGCTCACCATCAAGCCGGGCTTCCCTGCTACCCCCCAGCCAGGTCTTCCCTGCTGTGCCACCTGTAAGCTGCACCTCACAGTCCTTTCAAGTCACCTCCCCACGGTCCCTGACAACAGCCTCATACCTTCTTCCCCTCGAAGTCGGTCGGCCTGTCCTCGCTCAATCAAACCTTCAGCCTCCTTCACAAACGCCACCAGACCCCCGAAGGGGGGAGACAGCAGCTCTTCAATGAATTCCTAGAGAGACATGCCAGTCGGAACAGAGTCCGGAGTCCAGGGGACAAAGGACCCCAGCCTGGACTGGGACGACTAGGAGGTGACGCTCCACAGAGCAGCCGGCCTCCGTGAGCTTCCACTTTTAGGTGGTGGTCTCACAAGGTGTAGAGGAAGTCCCAAGGATTGTCTCTTCCAAAACCAAGAGTCGATGAGCTGGCTCAGGGGGAAGAGCTGGCCACTGACCCCAGAACACAAAGTGGAGAAGCAAGAGAGGAGTCCAGTCCTGAAGTTGTCCTGACTCCATGTGCTTCAAGACATGTGCTGCACACGTGCTCATACATACATGTAGACACACACATAGACACACATACACATAGACACACATGCACACAGACACACACACATACACACACACACAGACACACACACATAGACACACAGACACACACACATAGACATACACATACACACACATAGACACAGACACACACACATACATACATATAGACATACACACACACATAGACACACATACACAAAAACATAGACATACATAGATATACACACACAGAGACACACATAGACACACACATATACACACACACACACACACACACACACATACACACACACACACACATACACACACTAATAATCCCCTGCAGAGCAGAACTGGTTGTTTTGACATGTGCACACACATACATACACAGTTATAGTTTTATTTTGCTGTTAAGTTATTAACATCATAGAAAAATTAAGTGAACCAGATGAGCAACAAGGCAGTGAGCCGTAATGGCTGCACACTGAGGTCAGCCCAGCAGCACCAGGTCTCCCTGCCACGCCCAGGCCCTACTTGTGTGCGAGCATTGAGCAGCTGCTGGAAGCTCTCCACCTCCTTGCTGTCCTCAGCTTCCCGCTCCTGAGGAAGACACCAGGAGGAGGAACTTGGGAGCTGCCTCAGGCCAGCACCCCCACCCCCATCCAGTCA